CTCTTTATGTTCATGTTGTTAGTAGTGTTATGTTCATGCTACCCACTCTTTATGTTCATGTTGTTAGTAGTGTTATGTTCATGCTACCCCTCTTTATATTGGAGAGAAGATTGAGTGTATAAAAAGACCTTCGTTGACGTTGTTATGATCTTAAAAACAGCTCCACAGTAGCACAACGGTATGTCTGCGGACTTATACTGCTAGAAATCGGATTTCGATCCCCGTGGTGGGCAGATAACCCTTTGTGTAGCTTTTTTTGCTTAATAACAACAACATCTTAAAAATATCACAATTTTTGTTTTCTTTCTGTTAGAGAGATAATTTTTCAGGAGCATTCATTTCCTGCTTTTATCAACTATTTCTGGTACATAGAAAAATTACTTTTTATGTAGTACTGTCGTTTCATGACCACATTTTAAGTCACAAATCCTTGATTATGGACAATTCTCTTAAGTTGTGTTATCGAAGAACACTTTCTTGGAAGTAACACTCTCTGAAGAACACTTTCTTGGAAGTAACACTCTCTCATTCTTTAAATGTTAGTTTTACGAGTCGCCTAGAGTGAGAAATGTTGACCACCTGCCAACTGAGGTGATGGCAGCAGTATTTCGCTCATATCACACAGTGATAGGGTTAAGATATAGACTTGTTACTTACTAGAGATATATGTTACATTGAAAATAGCATCTCTAGTAATAACGAAACTGAAGCATGGGTCCAGTTTTGAAGATCCTATATGTTACATTAAAAATAGCAGGATCTTCAAACTGAACCCATGCTTCAGTTTCGTTATTACCAAAGATATATGTTACATTATAAATAGCAGGATCTTCAAACTGAACCCATGCTTCGGTTCTTTTTCCACAGTAAACAACGATCGGTCTCCTCCATGAATTAAACTCGGTTTCTTAGTCTGTTGACAGCAAACAAAGATCAAAGTCCTCCATCAATTAAAACTCGGTTTCTTAGTCTGTTGACAGCAAACAAAGATCAAAGTCCTCCATCAATTAAAACTCGGTTTCTTAGTCTGTTGTCAGTGAACGAAGATAACGCCCATCCATCACCCTCTGGTTTTTGAAGGATAGTGGCTTCCATGTGTAAGAATATATATATACATGGTGACGAAACAAACGTGCTGTTATTTTTGGTTGCTGCCTGCTCCTTGTTTGGTTCCTCTAAAATCGCAAATTTTTATCATTATTAAACAGTGCTGTTTGGACACCACTGAACTAGCATATTTAACGTTTCTATTTATAGCCTGAATAATGAAAGAATCCTAAAACCTTTAGAACTAATGGTATGGATAGTGCTTATCAGACCCTGAAATGATTATATGATGTTCAATGGATCCTGTAATGTTTGTATGATTATATGATGTTCAATGGATCATGTAGTGTTAGTATGATTATATGATGTTCAATGGATCCTGTAGTGTTATGATTATATGATGTTCAATGGATCATGTAGTGTTAGTATGATTATATGATGTTCAATGGATCCTGTAGTTTGTATGATTATATGATGTTCAATGGATCATGTAGGGTTTGTATGATATATGATGTTCAATGGATCCTGTAGGGTTTGTATGATTATATGATGTTCAATGGATCATGTAGGGTTTGTATGATTAAATGATGTTCAATGTATCATGTAGTGTTAGTTTGATTATATGATGTTCAATGGATCCTGTAGTTTGTATGATTATATGATGTTCAATGTATCATGTAGTGTTAGTTTGATAATATGATGTTCAATGGATCCTGTAATGTTTGTATGATTATATGATGTTCAATGGATCCTGTAGGGTTTGTATGATTATATGATGTTCAATGGATCATGTAGTGTTTATATGATGTTCAATGTATCATGTAGTGTTAGTTTGATTATATGATGTTCAATGTATCATGTAGTGTTTGTATGATGTTCAATGGATCCTGTAATGTTTGTATGATGTTCAATGGATCATGTAGTGTTTGTATGATGTTCAATGGATCCTGTAATGTTTGTATGATGTTCAATGGATCATGTAGTGTTTGTATGATTATATGGTGTTCAGTGGATCCTCTGGTGTTTATATTTGAAAGGTCAAACATTAACCTTACATATATGGTGTTCAGTGGATTCTCTGGTGTTTATATTTGAAAGATCAAACATTAACCTTACATATATGGTGTTCAGTGGATCCTCTGGTGTGTTTATATTTGAAAGGTCAAACATTAACCTTACATATATGGTGTTCAGTGGATCCTCTGGTGTGTTTATATTTGAAAGGTCAAACATTAACCTTACATATATGGTGCTGATAATTCACCATGAAAATACTTACTACCCATTTTATAATACTTTCAATAAAAGTAGTGTTTAAAATATTAACTAATTACTTTAACACGTGAGAGGGTGAGCATCAACGTTTCTTTTACAGCTATAAATACATCATGCATCCTGTATAGTAGAAACCACACCACGTGGACTTAGAACATACTAGCTTTGAAGGTTATCTACGTAGTGTTTACGGAACCATGTGGTGTTCAACTTTAAAATACACAGAACGAAGAAAACATTATTCCTCCCTCTGGTGTCAGAATTTAATACACGACTATTTAAAGCCTAATATTCATACTTAATCCTTTAGTTACATATTTCACAACAAAAAAGCGACTTAATATTCCAATACGACTTGAAATGAAGGTAGGACGTCAACAGCGCCATCTGTACAGTTAAATTATAACAGTTGTATTAAAATATTATGTTTGTTTGAATTTCGCGCAAAGCTACTCATAGGCTACTTGCGCTTGTTGTCCGAAATTTAGCAGTGATAGGCTAGAGGAAAGGAAACTAGTCAACACCACCCACTATTTTACCAACGAATAATGGGATTGATCATCACATTATAACGTACCCATGGCTGAGAGGTCGCTCATGTTCGGGGACGGGATTCTCAGATTTTGTTTCGAATGCCCTAACGACCAGGACAGGCTAAGCCTAAAACATTAAGTTGACAGAAAAAAACGTTTAATAATAGGAAAAAGGCACGATAATACTCGTTAAATTAAAAATATATATATATTTATTTATGTATTCAATCAAAAATATGTTTTATAATACATCTAGATATTACATATTATCACAGAAGGAACAGAAAGAAAAGACTTAACGACGAGTAAGCACGTATATAACTAACACATCATCAACTGTGTAAAGAGTGCGCACGTATATAACTAACACATTGTCAACTGCGAATGCAGAAAGGTCAACTTGTAGTACAATAATCAACAGTAAACTTAAAATGAAGTATGTGGTGTTTATACATAAGAACACTAATAATAATTGATTTGATTTTAACACTGAATTAATATTAAAACAAGACAAAAATTTCAATAAAACAGCTTTTGTTTACATGGGGTTGTGGTACAAAATAGATATATAACTTTAAGTACACGGGGGGGGGCTTCCAATTACAGCAATAAGTAAACATTCTAGTAACAGAATTAAGTTTTTCTGGAGTAACGAATTCACTTTGAAAGTGTTTTAGGTTCCAGAAAAACTAGTTATTTTCTCGACATTTCGGCTTCGCTTTACTACAACGATACACCTCGTTTTCACTTGTAGAATGAATTATAAAATGTATCCAGTTACAGAACGGATCTGGGATAACGAATAAAAAACCTCTTTAAAAGTATATACAGACCAGATTCAGTCATAGTATATGTAATGCATATTTTATATACAAACTTTGGAGTAAGAAAATATCCGTCGAGTTTACATTGACGTAATTTCGTACTCAGCTTTGAAAGCGAGATGTACTTTATTTGTAAACATTTCTTTTAGCAATTTTTTAAATGAATATCTTTCTTCTGGGTACAAGCAGAAGCAATAATTTTAGTGTATAGTATTTTAAATTTTAACTCTTAAAGAGTGAAGAGATAAATGGTTTAAAGAAATTATTTTGTTTGACTTTTATATCTGTGTAAACTAAGTACGATTATATATATATATAAACAAACATTAACCCTTAAATTCAAGTCGGACTCGTGACTGTTCCAATCGTTGGGTCATCATCTTTGATTTAGCCAATAAGGCCCTCTGTCATTCTTCAACATTCTAACGCTGAGGCCTTACTCCATTCTTTTACGTTGGTCATTTAATGTGTGTCTTTGGACTTTCCTTCCCATGCAGGATAGTACTGGCAAGAATACCCACGTTTCTGTCACGTGACCAAATCACTGTAGTTTCCTCCTTCTCAAAGTTTCTATTTTATGTACACTGTCCTCTCTAACTGCCTTATTTGTTCTGTGCATGGTATAGGGAAGGCACGAGTGTTCTGAAGCATCTCATTTCGAAGACTTCTACTTTATTTTCCAATCTGTTTGTAAAAGTCCATGCCTCACATCCATTCAGTGCTTTTGAGGTAACTACGGTCCGAAAATGATGAAAGTTTGTTTTTAAAGAGATGACCTTACTTGTCCAGATTTTCTTGAGTTTGGCAAGTTGTTCTGTGGCCAAGGCCAATCCGGTTATCATTTCCTTTTTTGACCACCATTTTTTAAAACATTCCTATAAATATTTTGCAATCAAACCCTTTTACCAACTCCTTACAACGGTATTTGATTTTCTATTTTAAAACCAATTGAGATAAAATGTGGACAAAGGCTTATCGTTGATCACCAAGGTCGCCAAACAACTTCATCCGGTTCCTCGATAGAGCTGGAAGGTTGATGATGGATGTTTGGAAGTAGGTGCCTTACTCCTCTGTTAGCACCAACTGTTGAACTGTAAACGTTTGAGTTCATGTGATCTTGTTCACTGGATACTCTTCCACTGTATTCGTTCGTGAGATCTCTACTTCTGACTACAGTTTGCGAAGAAAAATTAGATAAAGCGTCTGATGGCACAGTTCTCGAACTGTGGCCAAACGAATGACCCATTGATAAAGAACTGGAAAGGTGTCTCTTGGAATATGTAGATTGGATCTCTGTTCTTGTAGAGGATGGAAATGCGGAAGTTGAAATTGCTGCTGAAATATTTTGTGCAGCGATTGTCTTTTGAGTCGAAGCAGTTGAGTCTTGTAGAGAAGAATGGTCGCTGGTACCTGTAATAAAGGAAGACGAGGATGTCTTTGGTGATGCCATTATGTTGTCGTTGAAGACGTCAGAACCGGAGTCACTGACAGATGGGCTGAGGGCACAGCTTAATGAACTGCTGGCACTCGCAGTTCTTTGTGGACCTACTGGAGACACTGGATGGTCCCAGGAAGAAAGAGGGTTGCGAGAAGTGGTGCTACTCGAAGTGAAAGACAATGGTTTCGTGGTTCTCGAATCTAGTACAAGACTGTTCAGAAGTTGACTAGGAACAGATGATAAGGCTCTGCTAGGGAGCAAAAAAGCGACGTCTCCATTGGGAAGACGAGTTGGAATAAGATGAAGCCCTCCTAATAGCTTCTCGAAATTAGCAGATGTCGCTGAAGGATTGGAAACTGAACCAGATGCTCTTGGAACGTTATTATTAACATCTACTCCCACGGCGGCATTCTGCAAGGGTCTAGAAGGAACACAATTACCAGAAAGAGTACCCAACATTCCGGTGGATATCTGAACTCCTAATGGTTGTAAATGGTTTACAATGTCTGGAAGAGAACGGTTCATCCCTGGAAAAGCCGCAGTAGCCGACATATTGAAAGGAGTAGTATTCTGAAGACTGGAAACACAATTTGCCAGATGATTCAATAAACGATGGCGGATGCTGTTTTCCACTCCATCAATTCTATTTATGTATCTACTCACTTCTGCAGCGCACTCGTTGAACCCAGCCTTGAACTTGTTTAGGACAGAAGGATCTGCAGTGATGGCAGCTAATGGAAAAAGATATATTTTACAAATGTTAAACGATAACCACTTTTCACATCTGCTTTAAATTTTACCCACAACATAAAAAGGAGTAATAAATGGATTTCGGTATCGGTTCTCTGACCTACGTCACTGAAATATTATTATTTTATCCATTTTTGTTTCAGACTTCCATCTACTGACGAAAAGTGTCACGATTTACAAAACAGTGATTTCAATGAAAACTTACGTAAGATGTTATGATTAAAACACTTAGAAAGACGTTTTCATAAATTTGTTTGTTTGTTTTGACTTTCGCGCAAAGCTACACGAGGGCTATCTGCGCTAGCCTTCCCTAATTTATCAGTGTAAGACTAGAGGGAAGGCACCTAGTCATCACCGCCAACTCTTGGGCTACTCTTTTACCAACGAATAGTGGGATTGACCGTCACATTATAACGCACACACGGCTGAAAGGACGAGCATGTTTGGTGGGACGGGGATTCGAATCCGCGACCCTCAGACTGCGAGCCGATTGGTGGCGTGAGAGGGAAGGATTGGGAATGTGCCCAAGATTTTTCTTTCCCTTGCCAAATACCCAAGGTGTCCGGAAATGATATCAACCAAATTATTTACTTTGTCAGAGATGGGAACTACGTTAAAATGGTTACTAAAACTCAGTAGTGGTGGAGCGGGAGTTACTTAATGATTAGGGAGTCGGAAAATTCAAGGTTCGAGTGGCAATATGCTGCTCAACGCACTCTTTTGGGGGGTGACACAACCGTGTGGGCGGCGGATTCTGTTGACTACACTGCCTCTCTCTGATCAGCAGTCCTAAAATAGTGACGGCCACGTCTGAAATTTGGGGTCTCTATCCTAGGCATGGGTCGCGTAAGTCATAAAGGCGGATTAATACATTCAGAAATAACTATGTTATTTTCATTTCTGGACACCTAGCATTTTACAGCCTCTCCCCCTTACGGTTTCGGCCATAAAGAATTACCCAAATCAAAACTCATTTTGAACTATTATAAAAATGACAGATACAGCAATTGTACTTCGAATTACTTAGAATAAAAAAATTACTGGCTGATGTTTGTTAACCCTAGAAAAAGAGTTATGTGAATACTAGATATATACACGTTCTTATTGGGCTGTTTACCTTTTAACGGCTTTTATATTATTCTGTTATGGAAATACGTCAATTTCTAGACTACATAATCGTTAAAATCTTTTCGGTAATTAGTAAGATGGTTACTAATTGAGGCAAATCGCAGAGCGGAATGACTGAGATGTAAAACCCAAGTGCACGTGGTATTCCTCGAACAGGTCGTGGTTGGAAAATATAACAATATCTTAACTAGTTTCTGTGTGGTGGTTGGAAAATATAATAATATCATAACTAGTTTCTGTGTGGTCGTAGGAATATCTAACAGTATCTTAACTAGTTTCTGTGTGGTGGTTGGAATATATAACAGTATCTTAACTAGTTTCTGTGTGGTGGTTGGAAAATATAATAATATCTTAACTAGTTTCTGTGTGGTCGTTGGAATATATAACAGTATCTTAACTAGTTTCCGTGTGGTGGTTGGAAAATATAACAGTATCTTAACTAGTTTCTGTGTGGTGGTTGGAAAATATAACAGTATCTTAACTAGTTTCTGTGTGGTGGTTGGAAAATATAACAGTATCTTAACTAGTGTCTGCAGAATGTCAAGATATTTAACCTGTTTTCTAATTACCAATTTTTAAATATAGTGCATGATTAATATAAAGATTTAGTCCGCAAATAATGACAGGTTCAGCTTGGAGCTTTAAAATAATTACTGCACTAATTTTCTGACAGGAAATTTTTCTTGTTTTTACAAGATTTGATCATAAAGCTCACCTGCAATCTGTTGTCTCTGGACGTTCTGAAGATGGCGTACTGTCATGTCCAGTATGTCTGCCTTCTCTAGTTTCGAATGTCGGGATGGCTGTGAAGGATAACATCACTAGTTGTTTATTGACTTAATGACGTAGTTATGCTTATGACGAAATCACATTCTTTAATTATTATTTTATCTCTAATTTAGTTTTACTAGACTGGTTCTACAAAAACATGATCAGTCATCTGTTTTAATCATGGACAAGGTGTGACCTCGTGACCTGAATAACGTTCTTCGCAGTTTGGGTACGTTATAAAAGTGACGGTGAAATCCCACTGTTCGATTCTCCCAAGAATAAGCTAGCTGTCTTCCATCTAGTCTTATTATCTCGAAATTAGGGACGGCTACCGCAGGTGGCGCTTATGTAGCTCACTTTAATACGTCCAATATCAGTCTTGAATTTACAGTAAAACATGCATGAACCCGTCTTTAATACATCCAATACCAGTCTTCAGTTTACAGTAAAACATGCATGAATCCGTCTTTAATACATCCAATACCAGTCTTCAGTTTACAGTAAAACGTACATGAATCCGTCATTAATACATCCAATACCAGTCTTCAGTTTACAGTAAAACATGCATGAATCCTTCTTTAATACATCCAATATCAGTCTTCAGTTTACAATAAAACATGCATGAATCCGTCTTTAATACGTCCAATATCAGTCTTCAGTTTACAGTAAAACATGTATGAATCCTTCTTTAATACATCCAATACCAGTCTTCAGTTTACAGTAAAACATGTATGAATCCTTCTTTAATACATCCAATACCAGTCTTCAGTTTACAGTAAAACATGTATGAATCCTTCTTTAATACATCCAATACCAGTCTTCAGTTTACAGTAA